AGAGATAGCAAGGCCCATTTATAAAAAGCAGCTCAGCTGAAGCTGCAGCTATAAATAGAGCAGCAAGAAGCTGCCAGAAATCTCAACTAAACTAGGCAGGAGCTCTGAAGTCAGATCTGAAATACTGCTTTCCAGTTTCCCTTCTACTGTTCACATGTGGTTCATTTTGATTAACATTAATTGAATTGTACTATCTGGGCACAATACAGATTGTCAAAAACACTGCTTGCTACAGATTTGCCTTACCCCCCATTAGAAATAATTTACAAGGACGCTTTTCCAGTTATTTTTTCCTTTCCAATGACGGTATAAGTCCCTTTAGAATTATTTGAATCTTCAAAGGCCTTTTTTTGCTGGTCCCCTTTTGCAGACTCTCCAGAAGCAGGATATGAATGTGCAGGGGTTTTTGTTCCAGTTACAACCAGGCTTACACCATATGCTACTGTTAAGTGCATGTTCCTGTTATAAAGTAGCACTGGAGGTCAGTCTGTTTCCTCAATAATTTAAATATAAATATGTAAATAACTGTGAGAGGGCAATGGAACAATTTTAATCTACATGGTCAAAAATAAGCATTCTACTACAGCTGAGCTCAGAGACCAAAGTGTAGAAAGTTGCTTTGAAATCAGTGTCTTAAGGAGAAGAAATTCAACTGCCTGCCTTTTTCACAGATTAGCAATATCCCCCTCAGATTCCACTGCTAAGGTTCCTGAATTTTGAATATGTTGATACATGCTTTTATAATTATAAAGATGTGTCAAAGGTAGGGTCACTGTTCTGAAATGTCAAACTGGTTTATGGACTAACTTTGCAAGACAATTCCTAACAGGAATTTGTGAAGCAAATGGTAATGAGGAGTAGGGATGGGGACACAGTGGGCAGGAACAGGATGGAGATGACAATGGCAGGGGGGTGGAGACGAGATGAAGACAGGAGGACAGATGACATATAACTGGACTGGTTATTGATACACAGAAAAACCACAGTAGCTCTTTTCTTACTGCAAGCTGACGTACCTGTTTCAAACTCATGCCACTTAGAGCTGACATGGCAAGTCCGCTGTCAAATTAAGCCTTAGCAATTCATCTTCTGTCCTTGCTGTTTGACCTCAGCATGTATCAGATTGCTGTATGTTCCTGACCCTCAGCTGATCCACGAAAGAGAGACAGCCTTTGCCAACAAATCCTGGATCTGATGGCCCTTGAAAAAGAAGCTGAGACAAAAATGGCTCAAAATGACCCAAAAATGGCTCAAAAACTCTGCCTCCTTTCCACTACCATAGCTTTGGTCCAAGCCAGTCATTTCACACAAATGCTTTTTTCAATTATTATTTGCATGCTGACTGATATATTCTGAATAGATATTCCAGTTCACCGAGTCAGATGAATATTCTGTTACCTTCTTAGTAAGCAGAGTAATACACAACTGTATACATGAGGTGGACATTACTTTCTTAACAACTGTTATTTGTAACACTGTTTTGGAATGCAAACATGACAATTTCTAGTCCAGGAACGTCAGTCTTTCAAAATACTTCATGTGCAATTTTTTCCTCTAAAAACAGAGATTTTCATGAAGAGCATCTCAATGGCTACAAGCGTGTTTGAAAAATACTTCATCAAAGAATTTCAAACAATTCTTGGCAGAATTTTTGTTCTGAACAGTGGCATCCTACAACATAAAGAGATTATTTTCTTCATAGTTGCAAACAGGAATAAAACATTGTTTTTTCTTGCATTTTGACATACTAAAAACTACACTGACCTGAATAATTCCTACCCCTAAATTTGAAAATGTTTAAAATTAATACATAGCAAACTTTAGGGTGAACCAGCTAAAATTGATTTATACACTACTTTTGACAAATCCACACAAATTTGAAGTACTTCAAGAACAAAAATACTCTCTTAATTACATGTTTTATTTAAGGCACATATATTTCATTCTACATTTGTATCCTCCCCAGAGACACTCCACTATTTTAGACAAGAAAAGAAAAAGATAACTAATGAGACCTAGTCTTAAAACTGTTTAAAGTCCACTTGTAAAAATTGTTGAAGGGTAGTGTCTAGGTCAGGTGAAGGAGAATCTGCTATCTGAAAACGAAAAATTAAAGTATCTTCATATATAAGCACAACCAAAAGGAAAACAACACATCAAAGGACAAGGTCATCATTGCCTTTAACAGTAAATCTGCTGCTATATAAAGCATCTTCATGACATAGCTAATTATTTGTCTTAATGTGAAGTTTTGAAAACAAAACAGGACAGAATTTCAACAGCTCTACCTTCATATGCACACAGCTGCCGCTTTAAAAACAAGCAGTTTTTACCTGTGCCTCAGTGGAAAAAGGGAACATCTATAGATATTTGACAAAACAGAGGAATCATAAAGGAATATAAATAGAATGAAAAATGCTTTTCACAGAGCATAAATATGATGCTAATGTCTGTTTTTAGAAACAGCAGCTAAGTAGCATTAACTTGCAGGTAACCCCAACTACTTATGTAGTTAACAAAAATATCTGCAAGTCTAATCTTTCTTCCTGTCCCTTGGTAGCCCTCCATAAACTGGAGCAAAGCACTGAGTTTGAAAAAGAAATCCAGGTGGCTCCCCGGGTGTTGCCGTTTGGATTTCATTTTCCCAGAGTGCAGTGAACCACTCTGACAGTGATCATGAGGCTGCTGCCTCATGGTGTGAAGTACTTTTGCACCATACTTTTGGAAGTCATGCTCCTTGTGGCTCGCTAGCGACCTATGAACTATGGCACCACCAAGTCATAGAACTTGAGCCTTGCTGGGATGTAGAATAGTTGGAGTGTCAAATATTGATTTGTATGATTATCATAAAGCTTTTCAGGTTACACAGGGACAGATGAGCAGTGTTATATCCAGTTATTGAGGCAGATGAAATTGCTGCAGGAGAGGAAGAAAGAGGATGCAAGAAGTCTGGGTCAATCTAGACAGCGGAAAAAATAATATAGTATAAATGCCAGATGTAAAATGCATTGGAAGACAAAAAGTATTTATTGGATACAAATAGCTTCTTGGCACTAGAAAGATAATAATAATCATCAGAAACTGCAGGCTGGAGAGAGGATAGTACGCACCTTTCTTTGTCTGTGCATCATACATTTGCCCATTTTCTTGTTCTTTAGCAGGATTTGGCTGCAAGAATCTGAATGTAACTACAAAATGAGAGAACACCACCAATGAAACGCGTGTGCTCTGAATGCGGGCATTTTCAGCATGCTCTTGGAGAGCACGTATATATCTTTATATTTCATTGGACCAGTCAGCTCATGGCCGTTGTAGTGTTTTAACGTTTCATGGTTTACAGAAATATAATATTGTTTAACTTTTGTAAAAATCAGAGCAACAAGGCCATCAAATTAGGTAGAAGGTTTGCTACTGTTGTGCAAGTATACAAATGAAAAGTGAAATGCTGAATGTACAGCTTATACCTGAAAGTTACACATAGATACAACACTACAATATAATCAAATACATAAAGGGTTTTCATACACAGCATGAAATGATTGCTTTGCCCTGTGATAATATCAGAATGAAGTTAAGAGCCCAGAGTACATTCAATTTCTAAGAGATTAATAATTTCGTTAAGTGTTCCTAGGACAAATTTAAGGTAAGTGGAGAGGAAGGATTTAGGAGAAGTCTTAAGCACAGCTCAATGATTTTAGGCAATGACTGAGACATTATTTCTGCTGTCATGTGGAGTATTTGGAAAGTCTTTCATTCCACTGGGAAATCTTTATCTTATTAATTAAAAGGAAGAAATTATAAAGACAATGAAATATTTCTAATGAGATTTTATTAGACTGAGCATCTATCTTGAGAGTTACTGATCAAAAGTCTCCAGCTCTGGGTGAGACCTCAAGTGTGTTATTTTGGACACAACTGAAATAACTTGCATTTTGCTTTTAGACAAAGTTAAAGGGATCAAAACTCAGATTGCTTATTTTACTGCAGATGTAGGCATTCTGAAATCTACTGCTGTTCCAATTGGCTAGTGCACAGTTGGCTGCTGTGAGTAAACCATGCCACACTCAGTGAGACTGTGGCCTGATGCCATTTATTTGTGACCCACCATTTTGAGAACCCCTTCTGAAAAGACACCAATGCAATACAAATGTAAATATATATTTCATGAATAAGAAAACTTAATACTTTTTACATTTCAATAACATGCCAGAGTTAATAGTGCATAAGTTGACCTCTATATTCATACAATATTGGTCAGAAAAAAAAATCTTGTAATTATATGCTATTTTGTAAATAGGAAGATTTATTAATTTTGGTCTTGTTAGGATGTTATGACTAAATGAATATGTCAATTTCAATTACTGATTATAGCAAAAATTAATCTTTACAATTACCTGCTTTTTCACTTTCACCTGGCTTACCTATGAAGCTCCACAAGTGTGATACTTTTTAATTCTATGGGATTTAAATTAATCTCAAATATCCACAAAGTAGCATTTTTTTGTATCTTCTGCTTATATCCATGTCCCAATAAATTAGACTATTTTAAATATCCCATGAAATCTGGCATTGGAAAGGTTAAGTGAAAGGCATGCAGGGCAAAAGAGGTTGTCAAAGTGCAAAACAAACAAAACATTTCTTCTCTTGTACAGCTTTTCCTAGTTATTGTTTAAGCACTGCAGGCCAATTGCAAAGTAGCAACATTACTACTGTCTCCAGTATTCTCCACTTTGCTTGTGTTTATGGATTTGAGGTGAGCCTTCTGTGTCACCGAGGGAGTAAATGCCACCCAAGGCTTCAGTCGATAGAGGTGATTCAGTTTCTGAAATGCAGTAGCAAGTCCAGCAGATATTATTGACTAAGGCTATTGAGAGAACATTGGCGATAGCCTGCCTCAACATCTACCTGCTGAATGAAAAGCAGCAGCGGCAGCAGCAGAGGACGCGTAGGTTTAGAGTGACAGAAGCCATGGAAGGAAGCAAAACTAAGAGACAGCAACAGTAAGACAAAAGTACATATAAACTTTTAATGAATTAACCTTACAAAAGACAATAGCTTCAAAACATTTGACACGTTTGTACAAAACTATTCCAGCATTGTTAGTTCTCTCTTCAGAAAGAATGCCAGCAAGCCACCCAACGTGTCCCTGGCTATGAGATGCAACTGGTGATCACACCCAAATCATGTGTGGACAGAGTAAACTTATTTACAAATACTGTATACTTTAATACCAGATTAGTGGATGCTATTGGGGAGCGACTATATTTTCCAGAAAACACCATGCATCAGGAAATAGTATGCACCCCTAGCTTTATTGCCTTTTTTCCCCCACATTTGTCACTAACATCTCTTTTTAGTCCTTTCAGGATGAGTTACCTCCTTTTAACTCCTATTCCTTCTTTTCTTGTCTTTGATAACAGTGCAAGTAGCAGTACAATCTTCCAGTCCTATAGCGTACATCGCAACTGTCCTTGAACATAGGAAATCAAGGTGCAAGATGATGGCTCATGGGACTATTCTGCAGCCATATTAAAATAAGTGCCACATATCAGAAAATAGCACGCATGTTAAGGGCCAAAATGTAGTTAAAAAGTGCGTGATACTTTCCTGAAAATATGGTATTGATGACACGTATAAGCATTCTTCAAGATGCCACATTCCCTTGTGAAAGGGATCTTGTCATTTCAGTATGTACAAAGTATGTCTTCAATTCTCCTTTTCCTTTTACATTTATTATACCTCTGCAAGTGCTCATGTAGCCCAGTGTTTGCAGGACGTTGTTTGTCTCCTCTGTAACCTGCAACAATACAGTAATACAGCCAGCATTGATAACAGAGCAAAGCAGAATCTTCTTTCAGAGTGTAAAGAGAACATATGCTCTGAGCAATTGTAAGGGTTTTGCTATAATGCTTATAAGGCCTTTCAGGGGCTCAAGTGAGGTTTGATCACCTGAGCTTTCAAACAGGCTGTTGCTGGATACCGACTCTGACCACTTACAGCCTCCTAGATACACCAATGGCACTAAAGATAACACTTCCTCACAGAGCATTTTTCTCAACTTCAGGAGCTGTTTTTCATTTCAGCAGACCCAAGCTTCCCCATCTTTTTGTAGATGCTAAGATTGTGTGAATGCAGTGATAGCAAGACATTAGCATCTGTCAGAGCTCTGTTGCCAGTTTCTCACATAACTGGCAGTGAACCAAACTTTAGGCAGTTCTGCCATTTGAGGTGAAAGCCCACTAGGACAGAGGTTGTTCAACAGCATCAGATGTCTTGGACTGTCTGAGTTTCTTTGTGAAGCAAGCAATCGTTTGTAGATGTCATTGCTTTGACATCCCTCCTGTTTCCAGTTTTAACCGACAGCTGGTAACTTTACTTTTCCTTTATTTAGTTCTGAATAGTATCAACCATAGATATGGAGTGCTTTCAATCGCATGCTGGGATCTCAAAATGCTAGGCAGCATACTAGGAAAATACTTAAAATGTGATCCCTGACTACAGAACCACTGGAAAATGAGTAAATTGAAGGTCTTTTCTATTTATATATTTATTTATTTTATTTTTCTACATATATAGAAATGTGATTCGTTTTAAATCCTCTCTTAATCTAAGGATGCATTTTCAGGCAACTCATGGCTTCCTCCTCTGTATTCCTCTGTAGGGTCAAGACAAAGTTTTGATTTTACTCCAGTTTTCTGTATAATTTTCTTTTAATACTTTGGTTTCCTGCCCAAGGTCTAATTCTTTTGGAATGTACAGATACACCTGGTATGTATTTTTTTTCTGTAGACATCCTTAGCTCAAAAAATAGACCTGTTTAGTGTACAAATAGATACCGTGTTTTAAACAACAGACACAAAGGGATAAGATAAATAGTAGCACAAAACCAAGACTTACTTGTATTTTATCTAAGACACCAGTGCTGTCCATCCTGCTGGCCACATTTACTGTATTGCCCCAGATATCATACTGTGGCTTTTGAGCTCCAATTACTCCAGCTATTACAGGTCCATGGTTGATACCTGGAAAACATCAGAACTTAACTTTAAAAAAGATCCACCAAACAAGGACACACAGTGTATCTGGTAACATATCAAGTCAATATGGCCCATGCTGAATAGTGAGTACAGCAACAAATACTCTGTTAACAACTGTTTTATCAGCCATTACAGAAGGAGGATGTTAGAAAAAAATGCCAAAAGTTAGTTAATCTAATTTTAGTTTTACAGCTCCCTCTCATCCTGAGTAAATTTGATATTTTCAACAATTAGTATCCTAATAACCTGCTACTGCTTTTATTGATAGCATGAGGAACACAATGTGGAAGATCAGCGGCTTCTGGGAAAAACAATACACAAGAATTTATTTTCATTTTTACTTGAAGAGAAAAGATAGCCGATAGAACCTGATAAATATTTGTCTAAGTGCTAGGGATTAAGAGCACAGAGGAACTTGCGCCTTGCAACACTCTGCATTAACACCCAAGTCATGGTTGTGTCTTTCTGCCTCATAACACCCAACATGTAGCTAGCACTAGGGACCTGAGAGTGGAATCCACAAAAGCCATCTGCTGAGTAGCCCAAGCTGGATAGCAGGGCATGCTGAAGATATGTGTGTGGATAGTCCAAAAATTAGAGCAGTGCAGTGGGACTTTCCTACAAAATACAGTGGGCCAGAGGTAACTTTTTATTTTTAACCTCCTTCCTGAAAAACCACTGCTGACGGTTTGGTTAATACCTCAGGGACTAGAGAGCCAGCTTCAGATCCTCCTCCTTCAAGGAAACTCTTAGGAATGTGTTTTGACCGCCCAGTCATTCTGGGATGTGCTGCTCCACGTCATTCCTGCTACTGCAGGACTCCTTTGCATGACACGAGTGTTTGCTGGGGCAAGGCTGGAGGAGTAGTATTCTCAGTTCAGGGGAATGCTCTAACAGAGGGTGATACCATCTGTCTCTTTCTCTCATGTCCAAAGTGACATGAAAAGGCAAAAACTGTTCAGAAAATACTGCTCAGCAGGACAGACAGAGAATATCTAATTCCAGAGTGTCCTACAGCCTGGGCTCAGCATTCTCCAGGGAACAGGGATCCCTGTGCTTGAGCAGCCTCAGCCAAAAGCAAGAATCAAATTAAGTTCACCTACAACAGAGACAAATGTTCTAATCATGGAACTATATAGAAAAAAAACAACATGTCAGCCTCTATTCTGTTCTGAAAAAAAGCAGCACCTGTGCAAAACTTGCCACAAAAGCATATCTGAGCTTGGCTAATAAATCAAGCACCTTAGCTAACAGAAGCGGAGAGACACCTGAAACATAATCCAGGTGCTCCCCTCCCTTGCCTGACAATGTCAGGGTAGGCGGTGTACCTCCTAAGGCACAGCTAGCAATTCAGACACTCACAGAAAAGGAAAGTTGAAAGCTGAGACCTCTTGTGAGCAGCAACAGTTCTGGGTTTAGATGCTGGCTGAGGAAGGCTTTTACAAATGGCAGCTTGGGTTTAAATCTTTACAGTGGGGATTGTGTTGGAGGCAGATGCTCAAATTTTTCTGTGGCTTTAATTGCTACAGATTCCAGATGCTTTCATGATCAGGTGGTGCTGGGAAGTGGAGTAAAGTGAAGTGAAAATGGGAAGTGAAGATCTCAGTGGTGCCTATATTGGGTTAAGGTGGCAAAAGTGCCAGTGTGGGACCTGTGTCTCTTTGCAGATTTGATCATTTCTCATTTCATGAAGCAAAGGAGTCTGACTTCTCTGGAATATATAGAAAACACTTCAATAATCTCAGCTAGGTGTCTTTTTTCCACCTAGAAAGTTTGCTTCATGATCCCCACTTTAAAGGTGTCAGTATTGCTTTAATCAGTTTGTGGATTTAGCTCCAACACTCAGCAGGCTCTTTATCTGTACCGACACTGCTGATATGTGTGTTCGCAAGCATGTGGCATGTGTCATCTATGGCAAGAAGATAACTCTTATTCTGTACAGAAATATGGTATCTCTACATGTTTTTTTTTTAAACCCATTCAGTTCTGTAAGACTTTGAGATGGAAGCATACTTCAACTTTGCTTTGTTATTTTTTAACTCCAGCAAGGAATACAAAGCATACTGGCACAGGAGTGCCCTCAGGAACACATGATTTCAAGTCAGAAGATTGCAAGTTTTGCCAGTGGGTGTCACTCTGAAACATGAGAGAAGCAGCAGAAAGGAAAAGCAAGCTGCACAGCAAGAAAAAAAAGACAGGAGAATAACTCTTGGAAATCAAATAATTCTGACATGCTTACAGGATTTATGTGTTTCCAGTATTTATTTACTGCTTTCATTTCACACTTTCCAAGTTACATATTGCATTGTAGAACTGCTGTGTATTGCCATCAGGAAATAAACATTTTGGAACATATGGTTTTTGACCAGCTCTGAATTAATTTATTTCATCATCCTCCCGTGGCTTACTGCAGCAGCTGCCTATATATTTTTTAAAATACCATGATGCACAAGTAGGAACAATTAGAAGCTGAAAGATAAGGGATACCCCTTTCAAATATAAACAACTAGTCATCTTTTCTCTTATTAGTCAATAACCACAGAAAAAAACAAAAGATAAATATACTCCTTTGTCTAACACTGGAAAAGAAAGGGTGCATTTTTGTATGTTTGACTACCATTCTTTACTTCGGAAAACTGCCCTTTTCTGAGTCCTGCCTTGAAACACTCCTTGTCACAACAGCAGCTATGGTTAATGGACAACCTCACGTAGGCTGCCTTTAAGCAGGATAAAGATGGTGCTGTTTACTTCCATGGCCCTTCTGGTCAAATCTACTAACACTTTAATCAGCTGGTAGTTCACACTGAATTCTCCCCCTCCTCTCTGATGTTCTCATATAAATCCTGTGATACATACCTACTCGTAACTTGAAGTCATTGAATGAATGCTTGTTTATGACATCCAGTTTCGCCACCAAGGCAAATGCGAACTCCACCATGGTTCCTATGTGCATATACTGTCGTTCAGGTTCCTGAATTTAAACAGCCAAACAAATAGAATAAAATAATTTTCCTTAGCCTTAGTTGCTGTGAGAATACAATGAAAATATGCTTCATACCTGAAAGCACTTAAACCCTTAGGGATGTCTTAATACCCACAGGCAGCAGAAGAAAAGTTATGTAGAAGATGGTTATGTAGAAGATGCTCTGTCCTGTTTGATCAGTGAGATCAAACAATGGCAAATAGACCAGGATGCATTTTACTTACACAATCAAGCAGCCTAGAGATGATAGATCCAAAGCATGTCTACTCTAATGTGTTGATTGTCAAACACCTGATTAGCTGCTACCTAATCCCACAGGCACTCAGTCTTTATGCGCGCATAGGATTTGCTCATTAATATTTTCTAAGTGTCTGCTTCTATTTCATGCCCATTAATAATAAATAATGTTTGTGGACAGTCCCACAGAAACTCCTCCCTCTCATTACTCAGTACCCTAGTTAATGCATAAGCTCCAGTGAAATTTACAATTTTAAGAGTTCCTCTAGTGATCTCATCTGGTAGATAAGCAAGCACCTCTGAAAACATCTAATAGACCTGAAAATTAATAAAATACAGGAGAAAGAGAGGAAGAAGGCAACTCATCCTCTGCCCATTAATTTACTAGCTCAGAGCTTATACCACTTATAAAGCCTATAGACTTAATGTGACTTAATACATCAACAGTGTAGCCTGTTTTCCAAGTACTGGTTTGAGTCCTCTCAGGCTGAGAAGAAAATTGATTTTCAGGCTCCTACAGCCCAGGGTAGGACACTGACAAGAGAATGATTTAATAAGATGGACTCATTGATCTCTGTGAGAAATGACCGAATCTTCCTCATTCCTTGAGATAAAATGACAGAAGAGATGGACAGATGACAACTTTGGGAGATGATTCATAAAGTAGATGCATCAGCCTAGGAGGGACAGTAGTGGTTCTTGCTAGAGCAGCTGTTTAGATGAATGAAGCCTAATTCCTTTGGAGTTCACTCCTAGCTAAGACAGATGGTCTCCTGTTCAGTTGATGTATTCAGATCCCCTCCTTAGGCACTCAGTCTTCCTAGGGTGCTTGTTTTAAGCTGGGGGCTGTTCCCAGCAGTACACCCAGCAGTCAGTCACTGCCACACTAGGTACTGCAGTATCTGTGGATCTTTGAGTGTCTGGGCTGAAGGCTGCTCAGTTTTGGTGGGTTTCCTTTGAATATATGTACTAAATAAACAAAGGAACACTGAAACTTGGATCTCCTGATTCACAGTTTGTGGAAATAACTCAAATGATAAATTTCTTCTGTGCACACACTAGTTTTAATTGTGATTGAGAGATCCTCTATGTCTTCTCATCGCCAGTCTACAGTTCTGCATTTCCTTCCTCCCCTTCATTTCCCTGTATAAAATGCCAGAGCTAATTTGAAATCATTCTCTTTTTTGTCCTCAGGATCCTTAAGGTCTATAGTTCAGGTGTTAATTGCTTCTGTCTAGAATGAACATGAGTCTGGCAAGAACAAATTCATCCTTAGCAGAGAATGTGTTGATTCATAATTGCTGTTTCTCTGTTGCTAACCTGTAGTACTCTAAAGATCATGGCAAAAGCAAGATTTTTGCTTAAAAATTATAAATTGCTTCTCTGAACTTTATTTCTTCTGACTGCAGTTCCCAATCCTACCCTATTAAGTAAATCAGAAACAAAGGAACACGCTGTCAATGCTAAGCCTGAGGGCTCTGTAAGTGTACGGCTAATACAGCTACTCAGCCCTTCCATCTTACCATGGAAAACAGTTATTCTTGCATTTTTTTATACACTCTATAAATCCAGTTCTGCTGCAGGATGCAGCAATAACATGCTGTATTGTAGTTAGAGTAGAAGGACTGTTTCAAATTCAGCAAATACAGAGCTGGCATTTTCAAACCACAATGTGAGGTACAATAATTCACTGAGAATACTAAAGAAAAGTATACACTCGTCCAGGACAATACAATCCACACTAATAAGGAAAAAAATAGGCCACAACATTATACATAATCTACAGCCTAATGAACAGAATTTTAGCCTTAATTGGAATATGTGTTTTATTAAGCAGAAACTTCTTCTTGTACCTGACACTGTTCTTGGTTGGGTGTAGCACTCAATCCTGTTGCTGCCATGTAAGTGCTTCCAATAGTCTTTATCTTTTCAACTCCACTGAACTTTGGTTTTGACAATAACTGTAAAAAAGGACAGTTATTCATTACTCAGATCAACAGCCTTGTTACTCTAACAGCATTGTTACTCTAACAGCATTCAGAGCGTCAATTCTTGAAACAGTCTCTTAACAGACATCAAATGCTTCACAAATTTATATGGGATGAAGGACTTGAGGATGGATAAATAAATGGTTATAGCCTCCAAGGAAAGGGAATGTCTGCCTGCTTAAATATCTTTTTATTATAAAGGGACCAAATTTATAGTAATGAGAATGTACATACAGCTCTTAAAAGTCAGTAGACTTTGATATTAGAACTGAGTCACCAAGCGAGACAATGGTCAAGCTTTAAGCAGCTTTCTGAAAGCAAGCATCTCTTCCGTGCCAATGGGGTGTTCCATGCCAATGGGAACAAAGTCCAAGGATTTTAGTTCATATCCCAGGTTGTTTTGAATATTCCAATCTTCGAACATTCTTCATCACTAACAACTTCCTTTAAGACAAATACTGCTCTCAGTGAGACCTTCTCAGCTACCTTTTCACAATCCATTTGTAGTCATGCTCTGTACTTGCTTGTAACTTCACATAATGAAATATTAAAATTTGTACAATCCTTTGAATCGCTCATGTATCAACTGATCAATGCTCTGTATAATGAGATCAACACAGATCAGGTATAACGCAAAGCTGTATCATTTTAAGGAATGTAAATTTACATACCTGACTTTAGGCACTAGTGTTTAGAAACTGTAATTAATATATGTAATGTACTGCCTCATGAACTGCAGCTAAAGGGCATGGGATTCTCATTATAGCAAATCAAAAGCAATTGAGTGTGATGTCAGATCAATATCTGATGTATACCACGTAAATATCTTTTTCCTTTAATACTCCCTGTAAGTAATTTCCATGTGACTAGGCACACAGAAGTTCTTTTCTGTCAGCTCTTCCACTCTCCCTTTCAAGTATGTTTGTTTACTGTTGCATACCCTGGGTCAGTAAGATTGAAACCATATGTTGATTGCTGTTAGAAGTACATACATCATCGAAGTCAGCAATGATCTCATTTAGCAGCCTAAGACATTCCAAGCCTTCCTTATTAACATCAGATTCTGTGTAAAATTCCTTGAAATCCGGAACAGAGGCAAACATGACGCAGACACAGTCATATGACTGATGATATAAATCCTGTCCAAAAGAAAACAGAATAAAGAAAAAAAATCTGTCATACACAGCTCCAAGTAAAAGTTTCCTTACTGACATGCAGTGTCTTGGTCCTGAAAAGGGAAGCATTGCAGTCGTTGGAATGCCTAAAGACAATGGTTAGGTATTTTTTGCATTTAGTTGCATTTATTAATTTTAAATCGTAACAATTTTAAAGCTGTTGTTAAAAAGATTCAACACATATAGCTGAAAATATTTAGTCATTTAAAGTTACCCTTTTTTCCTTCTGAACATTAACTCTGTGAACATAAAATGTTCACTAATTTATTAGACAGGGCCCATTTCTGAGGTTTCTCTTGTACAGAATTGATCTGGCTTGCATGGCTGAAACTGTATTTTGCAAACCAATATCTAATTTATTATTAGTTATTTGTGTTATTGTAATAACTAGAAAACGGAACCAAAATCACAAACTCAGTGTACTACAAATGCATAATGTAACATGGTCCTGATAGTTCCTAACTTAAAATGACAAGATGCCTAATAGGACAAAATAATCGTCACTTCCATAAGAAGGAGCTGAGACAAAGGGAAAGAAGCCACTTGAATTAAAACTTATGTCACATTCTCCATTGCCTTCTGTGACCACTGAAATGAGAGCACCTCTGCTCCACAGGAAGATTCTGGTGCTAAAAATGACAACCCCACCTCCCCTTGTTTTCCTCTGCTGTGCCCATAAATATAGAACATCTCCTCTTTCAGGAGAAATTCACATCCTAAAAAAGGAAAAGAGAGATTTTTTTTTAAATTAATATCTATACACAAAGTTAATCACAGTGATAAAAGATGCTGTAAACTACAATAAAGCCAAATTCCGTCTAAGTAATTATTTTAGAAAAACAAGAGTTAAAATACTTATTAGGTGAATAGGATTTTTTCTGTGATTTCAAGAAGCATCGGATGTTACTTCATTAGCTAGCAAAGCTTTTTTTTTTTCCCCTCCAATTTCCCTGGCAGTACATTTCTTTTTAGAAGAATGTGGTGTGTCTGTACACAGAGGTGTACCGACACAGTGAATCTCTATTGGTGATGTATAACTGAAAAATAGCAGGACTGTGGGAAAACTGTTGACTGTCTCATCCCAGAACAAATATGAGGGAAGTTTCTGGGCAAACATGAAAATAATGGCAGACAGAGAGGAACACGGGCAGCTGGAGGAGGTAGATGTTTTATTACTAGATTTTTCCTTTATTTTAATAAGAATTTCATAACCAGAGCATCACTGAAGCTCTATCATGCCTCTGTGTAGTGAATATATAATTGCAATTCACCATTATTATTTATATGCTTAAAGCTGAGCTGGTTGAAATCGCCTATTTGTACCTGACAGCCAGTTTATAGTCATATGTACAAAATCAGTATCATTTGAAAGTGAACTGATTGTGCAAATGAAAAGCAACTAAAGAAAAAGTTCAAGCTGATGAGTTCACTTTCACATCACTACTAAACTTTAAAGGAATTCTGGATCTCTATTGCCCTCTTGCCAAGAGAGTTTTTAATGAAGAACCAATACTGTCATAATATTTTTCTGCCATCTCTTTTATCCATCTTCATAAACATCTGGTTAATAAATGTAATCCATATAAGTAATCAAATAGTGGGGAGCAGGAACCCCACTTGCTGGATGATGTCAACTATATTTAGGCTATTTAAGCACTTGACTGAAGTATTTCATTTGAGATCACAGTCATCCTGTGTGTCCTATACTGTCAGTACAGCAAGTGTGCCTATCTGGAAGGTAATTTTAATGTCAGATGGGCAGAATCACCTCAGATGTTGTTTCACTCAGTTCTGGAAAAAAGGCTGAAGAGGTAATTTTTCCTCATGTAGGCACTCAAGAGGAGTGCCTGAAACTATACAAGATGACTCTGACTACGAAATTCAGAAGCTCAGGTCCAGAATGACCTCTCTTTGTTCCAGTCTCTCACACTTAAAACCAGGCCTACTCTGTAATACTGAAGTGACATAGACTGGTGACTGCATTGAGCATGTATGCACCTAGACTCAGTGCAGATATACTCAAATTAGTTTAAATTAGTTAAGTGGAGCAGTAGGAGAAGATTCACAGGCTCACTCCTCAAATGTTTAGCTTTTGCAGTCTGTGTTTTGCTTCCCATCTACCTACTTCAAATTTAACTCAGGCATGTCTACACTGAAGCTACAGTAACATTTAACATTTGCATATAAAAATGCTAATAAGTTAAGATCTGATGTGCTGAGTGCTTTTCACAGGCAAGTCAGCAGAACAGGTACAGATATTACATTCTGTGGTTAAGTCAGCTTTCTTTCTATTTCCTCAAGTCACCTTCCCTGTAATTTGATTTCAAGTTTGGGTGAAGGAATTCAGGCCACACACATGGTTCTAGTTATTAAAAGATGATTGCATCAGAAATATAAGGCCTTGGTAATACAGAAGGGTAAATTCACAGTGTTATATAAAATACTGGAGGAACATACAAGAGTATCTATAGCAGAATGTAGATAACTAATCCTCAAAACATGGATTATTACACATACTTTTGAAACTTGATCTGACAAAATAAACAAGTTGTATAAATCAGTAATCAAATATTTTTTAGAATAATTTTTGTTCATATTCCTACCAGCTTGAAAAATCCAGTAAGTTCAGCCGAATTAATAGTACATTTAAAATTAATATTAATACATGATTTCATTGTCATAGGGATTCTGTTAATTAGTAAAAACAAAGTTGTTTTAGTTTACCAGATGAACATTAGATAGCAGTTGTTTTATTTGCTTTATTGAATCCTGCTGATTTTGCATCCTGAGAATGTAAAATGTATCAGAATTACAGTACTGATGAGATGCTGGTTGTAAAGTTTGTGAAACAGACAAAATCTAGGCACAGAGGTGCCATATCTGAAATAGCACACGGAAGCTAATGCCCTGTAAAGGTTTACTTGAGAATATAACTTCAAGTCATAAGAAGACAGGGCGGTTAGGAGCTACAACTTAACACTTACAGGAAAAGGAGGCCAATTACGTAGTGCTGCATGCGGAAGATATTACTGAATAATATGAAGCAGAGATGGTGGAAGAGGGATTCATTTTACCACCTCATAATACAGGAACCAGAAGATAGATAGGGCATTTAGAAGTAGAACAAGGAAAAAATATTTTACATAATAGATATATAAATGCATATTTCATTGCTATTCAACAACATGAAAGACAAGAGCTTAGAGGGTTAAAAATCTGAATGCTTATGTGAATACTAGAAAAATGCATAACTAGGAAGTATATAAAAACATCTTCAGAAGGAAAATATGTTCTTATATTTATGGGTAAAAGCATAAATGTGATTAGCACATTAATCTTCAGCTGTTCCTCGAACTTTTGCTGAACTACCTAACATGATACTGCCTGGGCCCTGCAGTTGACTGGATTGGTGGCAACTCCTGTCTTACTACGATTGTCACTGAAAAAAGCATCTGTCTTACTGACATTAAACATGCAGCCTTAATTTCCTACTGAGAATTGCGTTTTCTGAAAGCAGAAGTGTTGCCCAGAATAAATCATGGCAACTTGCACAATGCACAGTCATCAGGAAGAGAAATATGGCTGAGCAAAACACAGGAGCAAAGATTCAAATAAAAGTGCTGCTGCGACACAGGAAGATCAGTGTGCTTTATGCTGCTGGCTGTCCACCCAGTATGGGAACAAACAACGTGTAAGAAAGGATTGCATGCCCAACTGCTACAATTACAGACACAAATCTTTTCCTATAACCAGAGTTATCACTCCTTCCTCTCCTCCACCTAAAAAATAAATGAGCATATTCTATGTGAACACTTTGTCAAATGCTGAAGCCCAGCAACTGTGTCCCATTTGTCTTCATTCCTCTCTAATACTGGGGCAAGATCCATCCCCCCTAATGCTCTACAGCATAGTACCAGCATGGAAAAAACAACAAACAGCACTGTTTATAACCAGATGAGTAGTAATTCCAGTTGTCACAATAAATGTCAAGGAATTTTAAGGAGGCATTCCCACCTAGTTTATTTTGGTAATTCATGATAATAAAGGCTGTGGCAATTGGATGTCTTAATTTTCCTATGAGTACTTCTCTTGAAACAGTATTCTGCAAAACGGTTAATCAGAAAATTAAATGCAACACCATTCCAGAAAGGAATGGCTTTGCTTCTTTCAACAAAAATAAAATAATCCTGTCTTCTGGAGCCAATCACTTTTTTGTTTTATTTTGTTTTGTTTTCCCCTTTGATAACATCTGAATTTCTGCTGCTTGGTTCTCTCCCTACTGTCCCCTCATCTTTTCCATTGTCTGGAGACTTTCTTGGGATGGAGGAGGCAAACTGGTCCCATTCTGCCTCTTGGAAGGGTATGGTGGTCAGCTTCTCTGGGGCAGAATTTCTGCTCTAAGTAGGGTACTGGTTCCATCCTGTAGCTAATGAAACAGGATTTCTCTTGCTCAGTAATGTGCTTGCCAGTTAGCTTGCAGCACAAAAGCTCCTGAGCACTTTTTACTTTTAGGGGAACTGGATGCTAACTACATAAAGGAAAAGGCTGCACAAGCCAGGTGCAGATATATTTCATCCTGGCCCTATTTCCTGCTTTTCATTTTATAGGTGTTCCTATCTTTCTTTCTCTCAACTGGAAAGTACCCTATTTGGTATCCAACATGCACACTATAAGCAGAAACCCAGTTCCGGAGGTTCTGGTAATGCAAACAAACCTTTATTACAGTTTGCTCTGAAGTAACTTTGCTTTTACCATATCAGCATTAGTTAATGTGTATCCTGTTATGGAAAAACCTCTGTTGGTTGTCTAAAAGTACAGTCCCACTACTCCCAGTTAACATTCATTCACTCTTTTTTTTCCCCTTTCATTTTCCCTGCTGCCTGTTCTTCAGCAGCATACTTTGTCTTCCCTTTTCTCCATACATGCATAAAATTCTAAGAGTAGTAGTATTCTGAAACAGACTATTCATTCATTAGATTAATTTTCATCTCAAAATCTGGTTTAAACAGAAAAGAATATACATAGAACCATATTAACATGAATGTTTGCAACTAAGAAAAATGCAGGAAAACTTCAATTCAGTGCCTGTTGACATAAATATCCATGCAAAGAAAACAAATTTTTGATCTGTCCTAACATAATTCTTAGGTTTATACACACATACAGAATGTCCTTTCAGGCTCAACATGTCCTTGCTGATATTGAAACAAATCTGAAGACATGACAGATGCTTATATTCCTGAATATATTTCCAGGGATTTGAAAGGTTCTTTCCTCTTTGAAAACTGTGTTTAAAGAGAAACAAAACAAGAAACTGAAGATTTTTTTTTTGTTTTGAACTTATACCACTAAATTAATGTCAAATTACTTTTATTTCAGCTGGACAGCCCAGCACATTACCATTTCTGTTCTTCTAAATTGATTAATGCTCATCCCAACCTAAGAATCTTGAGGGGTGACAATACAAATCCAGTTCCCAATACAAAGGTGAGCAGATGGTGTTGCTCTGCTGGGGAGCTAAGATGGAATAGCACATAAATGAGAAAGCAATCTCCTGATGGTTTGCTGTGTTTAATGCCTGAACTGAGAACTGGAGCTGAGCCAACTTGACTTCCAGCCAAGGCATTCACTGTCTTGAAAGGAACCCCACAGCAGTTTTCATTTGACTTCAGCGACCAAATGAATATTTGCAGGTAGTACTAAAGTACTGATCTAAAGTACTGATTAGTACCACTCAGTGCAAACCACAGTGAAAGGGAAGACATTATCCTTTTTGACTCAGGAGATCAAAAATTAATCCCTAAAGCTGCCCTCTCCCCACTTGTCAGTTTTTGAAAAATTAGTATGCACAAGTAATTCAAACTAAGAGCTCTAGAACTGCTACTATCTCTAAACACTTATTTTTTCATCCTTTTTTGCTTTACTAAAACTGTAAAGGACCAGATTAGGAACAGATCTAATTTCCACCAAAGTCAAGGAGTCTTTCCTCCAACAACGAGTCTTTCGGTTGACTCTTTTGGTGCTTGGATTAAGATCCATAAACAGTGAGTAAGCAGGTAATTGAGTGTTCAGAACCTCTCTCTAGAATTAACAGCCACTGTTTCAGGGAGAATGTTAATTTTCACTTCAGTAAGTAACGCCTCCAGTCACCAGAAGAAAATTCAGAACCTGGATGCAGCTCCACTCTGATCACAAAGGAAAAAGTATGTGAAAGCATATGATTTAAATTTAAATCCATGTTGATTCAACTATCCCCTTCTTCCTCCTCACCCCTTTTTTACCCTCCTTCGAACGGCAAAATGCATTGTCACTTGAGATAATTTCACAGTTTTTACTTTAATGTACTAAATGCTGTAAAGTCAGCTTTTCGGGTATGTAAAGGGGAACGAAAGAGACTGTAAATCTATAATCTTCCTGTATGGACCTACTGTTCAAATCAGCATTAAGTAGTATTTCCAGGACATGCTGCTTTCTTACAGAGCAGAGGATATACAGAGAGAGCTGACCTCATTCTTCAGGTTTCTTGCCAAGAAGTGTTCGGCTACGTGGGCTGGAAGCACGTTCTCCAGAAGTACTCGATTTAGGTTCTCCATGGTTTCAATCTCCTCCCGCTCTTTTTTGAACTTGTTCTTCCACAGGAAGTCTAACCTACAGTAATATTCATTCTGTTACAAGAGGACACAGAGGTAAAGAAACAATAGGCATCTTGTCCTGCTGTAGTACAGGTTTCAGAGACAAAATAAGCACAGTACACCACCCCTACAAGGTTATTTGGCCACTCAAGTACAATTCCAGATCCCGCACAAATCAACCCCCAAACACAAACTATGTGACATTCATTTCGTCAAACTTACAATGCCCCCATAAAAAGGCCCAGGAAAAAAATTAAGTTGCAAGATGCTTTGAAGAATAGAAGATCTATTTATTTATTTATTCTCAGGCTTTAGTAGAAATTCATTCCAGAAATCAACCATTGTTATGGAAAGAATTTACAGTTCTGCAACTTAATATGATGTCTTATTTATCTGAAGTGTAGAATTTAACTTACAATAATGCGCATTTCAGGAAGACCCTGACTTTTACCAACTTGAACTTATGTCAGGCAACCAGCCTGGTAAAACGGGGGCTGTACAAGAAAAAAAACAAACTATTGCTGTAATACATCTTCAGTTTACCAAATCATTATCAGATTATAAAAAATGGCCCAGACAGTTGGGCCAACTCAGTTTTGCTTTTGCTGGGGTTGTTGGTTTGTTCTGTTTTGTTTTGTTTTTCTTGAACTGTTTTCTGTAATACTTTATCCTTCTTTTCTTTTTGCCTCAGAGTTTTCATGAATGTTTTTTTAACATCCCCAACAATAACTGGAATTATATGGAAATTTATAACATCCTTGGAATATTAGTGGCTCTGGAGATCTGATTTCATTAAAAAGATGTTGAAAATTATTAAAAATGGGGTTTTGTGGAGCACTATTTCTTTTCAATATTGCCAATGTTTTGTCATAAATTCTATGTCATTATTTGTACAGTAAAGCCTTCACTGGCCTATCTCATTCAAACTGATATAAATCAAGAGCTATTTCAATGTAGTCCAGTGGATTAATGCTATCATGCAGCCTTAATGAAGACTATGTTATTAAGCAGGAGAACATGATTATGATGACAATCTTATTATAGAAAAACCTAAAAATGCGAGCTAGTATTATTAGCAGTCAGTGAGCATTCACATCAAAATGAGAGTAGTCCTTCTGATTGGACAGTGGCTGTCATAGCTCAAAATGATTCATAGATATTTTGTTGAGATCAAAGCTAAAGCTAGTGTAGAAAGTTGAGATGGTATTAAAATGTTTTGGCCAGCTTTTAAATATGTATATTATATACTTATACATCTAAGTTCCCCACATAGATGATAAATTCAAATGCTACCAACTGTATTCAAGCAGAGAAAATCCAATAAAAACCTCGAATATCAAAACTATTTGCATAAATTGTCAAAAGTAAACTGAAATTAGGTATCCATACATTGTTCCAACTTTGTACTGAAAAGAAAAGGTGCCAGAGAAGCTGAAATCTGAAAAAAGATACGTTTCTTCTTTAAAAGCTAATTTTAAACAGATAATTTATTTACTGCTTTATTATTTATTGGATTAAATTTAAGCTGCCACAGAAAATGGCAAAAACCCCTCAGAAGTCAGAAAAAATAAAGCATAATGTATTCTACAATTTGCTGTCAAATGAAAAGTCGATGTATCATATTTCCAAATGCCTATTCAGACTTTTAAAAACGAAAAAGCACTACCCTATTAAAACATTCTTTAAATCATGGTTTGGTTGGTTTTTTTTATGTGATCTATCCAAATTAGCATACACATCATTAAAGTTCCTATTTAATCTTAGTAGCCTTGCAGTCATATGAAAACCAAGATTATTTCCCACTTTACATGTTATCTCCAGAACCCTTTCAATATACCAGAATAAAATGTCACTGAATGACCCTTATATATCTGCAGGGAAAATATCCTTGATATCCTACAAAATTTTTTTTCTTCACCTTATGCTGCTTTTCTTGACAACACCTTCCCACAGGTGAGCACAGTGGAATACTCGGGGAGGCATGAAGGACCCTGTGTTCCTCTAGGCACCACAGTGCACTTGGGTTCCTCCAGGACAAGACTACCATGCATCTGTGCAAGGCAAAGCAATGCAACTGCAGAGGTTCAAATCAGCCACAACTTCATGGGCAAAAGTAGTTAAGTGCAACAAGAACCAACTCATGTCTCACTAACTGCACAGAGAAGGGTTTATCTATATTTTGAAATTCCTGTTGAAACTTGCTGAAGGTGCACTCAATCCCTCTGTCAGTATCATTAATGAAGCTATTAAACAGCACTGCTACCAGTACAGACCCTTGAGGGACACCACTTGTCACTGTCTTCCATCTGGACATTGAGCCACTGACCACTACTCTCTGGATGTGACCATCCAGCCAATTCCTTATCCACTAAACAGTCCATCCATCAAATTCATACCTCTCCAACTGAGAGAGAAGAATGTTGTGGGGGACCATGACAAAGGCATTGCAGAAATCCAGATAGATGACATCCATAGCTCTTCCCTCATCTACTGATGCAGTTACTCCATTGCAGAAAGCCACTAGGTTGGTCAGGCAGGAATTTTTCTTGGTGTTTTCACTGCCTCCATCTGACATCTTGGTTAACAGGGACTACAGGTTCTCAACTGGTACAGTGAAGTATTTATCCTTCTTTCCAAGTGGAAGTAGCTGTGCTCCAGCTCCACTCTGCTATTGTCATCAAATGAGCAAACTCTAATATGGTGCTGGCATCAAGGCAGATGAAAAATGTTATTTCTAACTCAAGAAGGATGTTTCCCACTACAGCAAATACTGAAGAAGCTGCCAGATAATAATTTTTTGTCTAGTTACCTGCAGGGCCTGCTTGGCAATTTAAATGACAGTCATTATGTTTCAGGGAATTGTAATGTAAATGAGTTATTTAAAGATGGTATGGGATAAGATCCTTCCCAAGGCTGCAGGCTGTGGGGGTACAGGCTGTTCATGAGATCTCGCATGGATTGCCTCTTCTATCTGAGAGCCCCGTCTCACTCACTGCATTGTTCCTGGCACAACAGGCTGGAATTGCAGCTTTTAGCCACGGATCATGGACAGACCCAAGGATTTAGAGAAAGAACTGCCTTGGCACTTGCCTTTGACTTCATAAAGGGTAAGACCACCGACATCAGGTTAGTACTGAAAATGCACAACTGGGTAATAAAAAGAGTAGTTTCCTGTTGGGTCATAGTTTTAGTGCAACTGTGGCCTCAGCATGTGGTACACTTTTGTGTGCATGCTACATTGTTTCTGTGTCTGCATCAAATGGTAATAACTGTGAAGAAAATAGCTTGTAATTAAGCAACTAGGGAGACAGCAGATGGATGCAGGCAGATGGGAGCACACTAGGAAGCTATGAGACAATATTGGTCAGTATGACAAGCAGTAGTCACAGCACTGTATCAGCATAATGTCTACAGTCTCGATGACCGATATTGGGGAGTTTTAAGGGCATATTGGAAGGTAATAAAGAAAATAGCTTTCTAGATGCTTCTGATGCTCCTTTGCAAGGGTGTGGGGCAGAACGGGATAAAGGTGTTACTCAGAAAAATCTAAAAAATGTTTGAGAAGGTGGGAGGCTGGCATTGTGTCCACTGATGCAAACGAAGAGAAGTGTGCATCTTACCTGTCTACCCAAAACCAGTAATGTGACGAAAAATATAAACAAAGAAATTGAGCCCATTGTCTTCAGGTCTTTCAGTATTCCTGGCCTATAAAATAAAAACATAAGTAAAGCCAACGACTCAAAAGTTAAAACAAAATTACTTTAGCACAAGAATAAGACCACAATTTATGCTACTTTCTGGTATGTAAACTAAGACCATTTAAATATGATAGGATTTATCATTTGATGAAATATTATTACTTCCATTATGTAGTTTAATTGCTTCTACTACATTCTGTGCAAATGTGTCTACATTTTGAAGTCCAGTAATAAGATGAGGATTTAGTAAAAATGACACCTTTTTTTTAGTACAAATAGAGAGTATTTGATGTTTATTCTACACAGACAGGTTAAAAACAGTTTTTTTTAATGTCATAACACTACTTCCCCAAAGAAGAGCTTGACAGTATCCAATGAATGTGAAGAAACAGAAACTAAAGCACCTAACTCCCAAGATGTCTTTTCACCTCAGAATAACAGGAGTCACAAACTAGATCTTTTTGTTAAAAACTCTGCTATGGGAAAAGACACCAGAGGTAATGGGCAACAGTTTGCACTAGCACTCTCATACCGGTGTCACTGAAAGAAGAACCTTGGTGAGACATTTAGGAAGGAAAATACCAACAGACAGACAGCCTGATGGGCAAAACCAAGGCTGCCAGAAGCACATGCTAAATATAACCAGTATCATGGTTCTCCATCCCATCACAGAGGCATCCTTTCCAGTAATGCAATAGAAACATAAAAACCTGGGTTTGTTTATTTAGTCTTCAGATTTAAAAGCAAGGAAAACATACACTTTTTTACCTTTTTTTTTATTATTTTTTAAATTCAGATCCTTCTCCATGGTTGTCTCTGTGTCCTAAAGAACTCGAGCAGTTTACCACACAGGAAAAAAGATAACAAAACTCTGAATATTTAGTTTTTCTGTTGTGGCATATGCACTGCACACCCAGCGTACATAGAAGAGAATCACCTCTTTGTTTTGAAAATGAGGTAGAAATTACACAGGTCCAAAAATTATTTTATACACCACTACTTAGAATTAGAGTAATATTTTTTGTTTTATATATTCCTATAACAAAAATTTCGGCAGTCTCACCAAAAATTTAACATACAAATTTTCAAGCACAGCAAAAGAAACAGAAACTGTTGGTCTACTAATTTTTTTGATAGCTAAGACTACATTTGTAAATTTTTAAGACAATGTACTAGTTCCAAGGAAGTTGATTTTCTTTGGCTTGCAACAAATATGCTTTAACAGCCTTAATTATGTTCAGCCTTAGGCCTTAACAACCTTGGTGACAACTTCTTCCTAACGTCCTTTATTACAAAAATGCAAATGAAACCATAGTCTATTTCCTATGGTATGTGATTTAAACACCTTGCCCAGACTTGTTTATTTTATTCTAATGCTCTGAGGTGTGACATTAAAACATATATTAACTGCAGCATGACAATGATTTTAAATTGCAACTTGTAGATTATATTATCAAACACGTAGAAAAAAAAATCTGTTCCATGACACAAAAAGCTGCCACAGGTAGTATTTAATTTCTGTTCATTTCAGAAGGACTAGAGTTATCCACCTACCTTCTAAGAGATGCCGTGGCATACATAAATTTGCTGTAGTCATCCAGCATGAGCCCATGAGTGTGAAGAAGGATAACATTGTAGCCCACCAATGCAATCAACATTATCACCATTTTCAACTCGTAATTTATCCTCAGGAAAACAGAACAGGAAATGAGCCCTAATATGCAGCTGTATATAAAATACTGACAAAGAAAAATCAAATAGAAAATATTTAAAATTTGGCTCTTGACGAGGAAATCACACATAATAAAATGCTTGGGCTAGTTTAAAAAAAAAAAACAACAAATTATTGACTGAATACTTAAGCATGGAATCCACCACAACCTGCAACATTATGGTTTACAGTCAATTTTACAATTTTACAAACACTAGAAATATAGCTAAGGTATGAAGAATATAAAATTATTAACATGGCGTATGCATAATATAAATACAAAAAAATCCTTCTGTCAAATCCTCTTGAGTTATGACTACATAAGAACATGTTCAATTCTCAAAAAAAGCATTTTCTTTCCTATGGCATATATATCAACAAAAATATGTACAGTTGAAGTTGAATTCCTGTAAAAATATTTTCTCTGGATACTTTCTCGAAATGAAATCAAAATGGATCAAAATTAATGCTAAAACAGGATTAATACATTCTCACTAGAATCATTATCTTAGTCCTTAATAACAGTACCTTTGCCAAAGATGCTTCCTGAAAATTACAGTGCTGCACCTTGCAAGGAAGTTATCTTCTCTGAAACTAAAAAGCATTCTATTTCTAGATACACTGTTTCCAGACTACTGTTGACTTGTTGATGGCAATACTTTTAAGAGAACCTGAATCACTGTGTACTAATTTTCACAGCACCTATCAGACAGAATTGACCTGCCATCTGAATCTCTGCCATTACTGTAAATTGCTTGCAGATCTGCTTGAAATAAGAAATAGAAGGAACTACTGTTCAGAGTCATGGAAAACAAAACTTCTCTGATAGCTGCATTCCACAGGAGGTCACACTCCAAATTCAGTGTTACTTAAAAGTAGCAGCATCCGTATTTTACTCTGTAAGGCATCCTGCTTCTGAAATTAGATTTTCAAAAAGAAACAAGCAAATAAAAGGCAGTCTTGAATCCACAACAAGATGCAGTTTGTCAAGGACCAAGAAACATCTAAGCAGAATAGACAGTCTCTGTTAGTTTTCCATAGGAATACATAGACAAGATTGAAAATTTCAGCCAAGATTTCAGACAAGGGTGGATGGATTAGAGAAGAGTGACACAGCCACACATTTAAGAATACAGGCTCCAATATTGTGTATTGCAATGCAAGATTCCAGTAAGCAACAAGCAGATCTGGAAATCAGTCTGTAGGTAACTCTGCTTGAACAGCCACACCAGGTTTTGAAGCGTTTTTATTTTAAATGCCATCTTAAATAAACCTTTTTCCAACTGTATCCTACATATATTCAAGGCTATTGTTTCTGAGTGCTCAACACTGCATAAGAATTTTTCTTGTCAAAGGAACGTAAATTTCACCCTTTTAATGACAGAAATTGCAAATTTTAGCAGATGCCTAAAGTATTGTAGCTTGATTGTAGCTTATTGTAACCTTCTCTAACCCTTTCGGTTTCTCAGACTAATGCCAAAGGGCTTGAAAAAAAGAGAAATCTGAGGAACAACTGCAAGACTTTAAAAGATACACTGTAGAGGAATAAAGGTGTTCTAGCTAGCTTCTCAGAAGGATGCACACAGCTACAAAGCATGCAAGACACTGGAAAATAGTAACAATTTGGTGAAGGAACAGTTAAAGTAACCATGCAGAGAATGAGGACTGGTAGAATTACTGTCATATGTATAGCTCGAGAGCCCTGGCCTTTGTCAAAGTACAAAAATTGACAGCTGTCAGACAAATGCAGCCTGTCTCTTGAGCCAAGCAGTCTGCTCTCAGTTCATCAGATGAACATGAAGTTGCCTACAGAGGAATTAATGCCTAGCTAGGAAAAACCCACAGCTTTTGTGGGCAGGTCTAAAGGTATACTTAGTGAAGACCTGTTTCAGGCCTGTTCATCCCACACCTCTGTACAATCTACTGAAGAATAAAAAGGGCTCAGGCTACACAGGCATTGAGGCTTTTTCCAAGGCAGAGAGTTGCAGTGATACCAGTTCCTTTGTAGCAACCTTGACCAAAAGATTCCTGCACGCTGAAGAGTCAGCAATCCACAGAGCAGTGGAGCTGCGGAGGCGTGGGTCTGCGGTGTGCCATGCAAATCCCTTGGCTGTGGGATAACCTCAGCCAGTTCAGCCAACTTACTGCAACTAAGGAATCTGCAGACAGCAGCCACCTGTGTGGCCTTGGCTTTATCTGATGGTGCAGCAGCAAGTGCTCATGGGCATGGTTTTTGTCTGACAGCAGAAATGATGAATAGAAATGTTTCCTTTTAAGAAAATCCTGCAGGAGCTCAAAAGAGGAAAACACTGAGTAACCTCTCCACAGATGGAATCTGCATTGCATGCCATCCCTGACTGGGGGACTGTCTGATGCTGGACAATTCAGGGTTCCCAGCAACTGGAGGGATGTAACTCCATCTGCCCTGTTTTTTCTTCTTATGCTAGCTCAAATAAATGGTATTTTAACCAATATGTTACAGAGCTTGAGTGCCTTTCCTACTGGGATCACAGACCTCATGCCTTGCACCAGTGTACTACACCCTTAGGATCTTATCTCCAGCCCTGTGCATTTGGTCTCATCTCTTAAAATGTAAGACCTACAGTTCTGGGGTTATAAATATCTCTACTAAAGGAAAAAGGGATTCTACTCCAGTATGTCTATAAAGAAAAACTTGAGAAGGAGGTAATTTTCTAATTCCCTGGTCAAATAAATTGTACTCAAAGAATGCATCTTTTAGAAGTCAGTATGATGACTTTTATTTATTGAACACATGGAGGTGGCAGAACCAATACCACATTGTATTTTATCACAGGAAGAGATGTGCATGACTTGAAATCTCCTAGGCCTAACTTCTATTATATGAAACTACAGAAGCATCACAGCAAAACTAAACAATAACTAAACACAAGAAAAGTACCTAAAACTTACTGTGTAATCTTTCCTAAGTCTTTAAAAAGAGTAGGAGAGCAAGCAACACACTCAGAAAAGTTTTTCTGGGGCATGGATGAGGGGGAGAATCAATCAGTATGCTCCACAGGAAACTAAATTCTACTCTGCTGAAAATAATTTTAAAAATCTCTTATTCATTCTTTTCAGATGACATAGTCAATAGATACGTCAGATCCAGTATCACAAATCCCAGGAAGTTTATCTGTATGGACAAAGCTTAAAGCTGACACACATTTTCAAAAAATCAAATTTTAATTTAAGGAAACAAATACTTGTCAGCTTAAGTATTCAATATCTTATACAGTAAAGAAAGAATAATTTTATTTCCAGATTTAAAAAACAAATAAAAATTAGCAACTCAAAAGGAATTCATAGTTTTTTCAACCTAGAGGTTATGTAGTGCCTGAGGATGAAAATTATCTGTATTTGAGAGCTGTTTAATAAGTGAGGGGAAAAGTGTTTAAAAACTTCAGTCAACATAATTTTAATTTATTTGTTAGCAGAAGTGAAATTTTAGCTTAATTTTTTGTGCCAATTTATCAAAGTTCCTTTGATGAAAGAATGCATTTTAATAGTTTAAAGTCTACAAACCACTATTTGTTAGAAATGTGCCTATCACGTGAAGAGCTGACAATCATTTTAGTTATATATGGGGAAAAAAATGAAAAGGACACACAAAGATTTTACTTTTAAAAGCAGCACATTGAGTCTTAATAATAATATAATTTATGAAAGGAATATCCTTGTTGGAGAACTTACTGGTAAAAAAAAAAACCAAATAAGTACTTTTCAAGATTAAAAAAGTAATATAAAAAAAGACTAGAAAACCTGCTAATTAAAAAAGCAAACAAATATAAATAAGTATTTGAACAATTATTTCTATGTGCTTGTGAGTGTGAAGATATGCAGAGACTGGGAGAAGGACTGCATCATTTCTTTGACAACACAGATAACTTGATGTCAGGGTCAAAAGAAGATGTAGGCACCTATCCCTACCTGATGGTATTTAGTTAGCTAAATTTGAAAATGAGAAACAGAAACTCATGCTCCGCTGTTGCTTGATCAAGGAGATGCTGCAACTAGTTTCTTTTTCCAGGAGGGTTCTATACATAATTAACGTCTTGCTTTTGTATATGCCTAGGATTGTTTAGCTTGACATAGTGAATAGCTGTTTCCTGTAAAATGTATTGTGTGGAAATCAGCCCACACCATTTTGGTACTAGTCTCATCAATTCTGCACAGAGATAAAATAATCTCCCTTCTCCTCTTCCTGCCTCCTGCTTATTCATCCAAAGACCATTGACCTATTTTGGCACAAGAGACAGCTTATTATGTTCAACTGCAGGTCTTTTGTAATCCTTTTGAGAATCACTGCTTTCTAGCATACAGATCCCATTTTTTGCAGGAACGTCCTTCCTCCTCTTCTTGTATGTACCACTGTGCTTTTGTTCACACTAAGACATCTTCAAATCAGTTCACATCTTTCGAACAGCTTATATAGTGGTACACGATTGTTGTATTTTCCCACTTCATCCCAACATTTTATCAAATAGGCAATGCCAGAAGTGTGACAATCACAGATTTCACATCTACTGCCAGATCAGTGATAAAGTGGTGAATATTTTCAGATCTGTCACTGGTCCTTGTGAAACTCATTTTCTCACTGACAGTGACATGGAGCTTTCAGTGCACAGCCTGTTTTGCAGTTGCTGTGTGTTCTCCTGATACCTCAAAACACCCGTTTGTTGGCATGGGTGAGCTACACTTCTTAATTATCAGTTTGCTTCCTGCTATTTAATCTGACGTTCATTAAAACCTCTATTTTCAGAAGTACTAACCTCCTTTAACTTCCCACTTCCTTCAAATGCAGTTGCAGGTGACTGAAAAAAAAATCAAGCTTTTTCTGCAGTATTAAAATTGGTGGGTGTTTAACTTCAAGCAGATATGGCAACAGTCAATTTAGTGTAATTGTTGTAAACAAACAAAGAAAAGGAAAATGAACTTACCGGTAGGAAAAAACAGTTGTTTTGTATACACCACCGTGTCTGATTACTTGAATTAGGAAAACTTGCATTT